TATTCCAACAGAAGGAAAATTGGTTTTCAGCAGGATCACTTCCCCACTTTCCAACACGCAGTTGCACAGCTGCTTATTGTGGCACAAGAGAAGATACGAGGGGCCTGAACGATACAAGTTGGGATGGGGAAGAGCAGAACTGCTTGGAGAACAGTTAAGTGCTGGATGTGCATCAGTTAAAATTTATCTGGTAAATAAAGGACAAGAGATTGCAAGTGGATATACAGTAGACAGCTATGAAGCAACTCTGAAGCAGTATTGAGGTCGCAGCCAGACTCAGAAGCCAGGAAATGACAATCTGTGTTTACTTGTGCAATCCTGGTCTGGTTCCTAGCGTGTGTGCCGAATGGGGCAGCAGTTCCAGTGAAGAGGAAAGGAGGTAACTGAAGCTGGTGCGCAGCTTGTTTGAGTAGCCTCAAGTGCTCTCATAACTGTGGGCAACTTAAAAATAGACAGAGCTTCTAAGTGTCTGTGTAACATGCAAATGGCTGTGGCTTGAAGTAAGGAATGCAGCCTGCTTTCCTTTTAATCCGCAGAAGTATTTTCTAGTTTCACCAGCTCTGCGTTTCTTCCCGCCGAGTCCGTGCAGGTTTTTCCCAGGTCCTCGCCTTGTGCGCTCGCCAGCGGCTCTTTGCTGTGTGCAGCGAAACCACAAAGCTTCACCACAGGAAAACAGCCTCCACACAGCCTTGCCCTTTCCTGGGATGTGAAGCTTTGTTTTCTTTGAAAACAACTGTAACTTTACATGTGTCATTTGATAACTTGCTGCTTCAGACAGCTTATGGAAAAAAAAATAAGCGTTTGCGTTGGGGCTGGTGCTTTCCATAAGCTGCGCTGGGGTTTACTGTGCAAATATTGGCGCTCTGCTCCCGGGGGCTGGGATGGCAGAGGGCTGCACAATTAATTAGTGATGGCAGGAGTGAGGAATGTTGTTGTTTTTTTGTTTTTTGTTTTTTTTTTTATGAGCTTTCCTTAGTGATTTAACTAAAAAGTTTTGGTTGATATAACAGCTAGCCATTTTGGGGGGTTGGGGAAGTTTACTTTTGTGGAGCCCCCCTAAGTGACTTGTGCTGTAGTCAGGTCGGTGGATGGTGTTTGGTTGGTGCTGGGAGATGTGCCCAGGTAGGGCCCTGAGCCCCGAGCTGGCAGCGTGAGCCCGTGGTCGGTGAGCTCGGCCCTAGGAAATCCTTAGCACAGGACGAGTGAAGGTGGCGGCTGAGCAATGAGGTAAAATGTGGGTCTGCCAGAGCTGGTGGCAGATCCGTACCGCCCCGGAGGAAGGCAGGGGATTCGGGTCAAAGAGAGCCAGGGTAACCTGAATTGAAGTTGAAGGGTGGTTCGAGGCGGGAGGGGAGGCCGCGCGAGCCGCCGTTTGCGCAGGGCCGG